ATCGTTGAGATTTTTATACGAGGCGCCCAACACGTGCGTTCTGGCCACATTTTCATACATATGCTCCTAGATGCGAGCCTCACACCGTCAATGTCTCTAACTTCCCCTCTGTAAAGCACACAAACATGGGTATGCAAACAATTATGAGTCCGTAACCAACTCAGCGGGAGCAATCTATGAGGGTCATAGTTAGGCAACTGTAGTGTGTGAGTATCGGCGATGGCACGCTACCCACAACATTTTACATTTTTGTGAACGTGGAATTTTAGTTCTTCACTAAATGTTCATATTTGTCCTAGCTGGTCATATTCGGTCGATGCGACCAGACATTCCGGAGTAAAACAGAAAATTCGCATGTGCAAGGCATTAAGCATAACGTCTAGATCTCAGTTGAAAAGGCCTCTGTATTATTTCATTTTCTTCTTTAAACTATCTGAACCTTTTGACTTAACTCTGATTTTTGATGCTCCTCTTCTACGCATAACGAGCGTCGTATTTGTAATATGCCAGGCATATGGCACAATCTGCGATAGCTTCGAACGGGTTAAGCATTCTGCACCTGAATGCAGATGCTGGTCTGTCACAACTTGTCGAAACAAACCGCCCCACTCATGTTGACTGACGATTCCATTTTCTTTTACAGAATCGTATTTGATCGGTGGATTGAGGTAGAACTTCTAGATGCAGAAGCCGCCCAGCGTTCTCTGGCAGCTGCGATCTGGCTCCGAACTAGCCTGGACCGACTGCTTAGACTGAAACTAGCTGGTAAGTCTTCGCCCACGGCATTTGATATCAGAGCCTTGCTCCACTTGTCATAGTCGCACGCACTCGAAAACTGAGGTACAGTGCGTGACCGATCTCATTAAATGTTCATCCAAATTCTCAAATGCGCTTTTGCTTAGGAAGACTTACTTAGATGGGGTTGTTATACTGATTATTATGCAGCATAACCCTATAACATTTCGGACTCGCCAGGGTGTCAGCCTTCGAATGCACTTCTTTTTGGCCTTCTGCAGAAACCACACTCTGTAGAAAATGACTACTTAAGTAGCATGCATTTTTCCTATCGATTTTCGATGGATCATGCACCTTGTGGACTGAAATTTCTAAACGCTGAGGCAATGACAGATCAGGCTGAAAATTATTCGGGGATCGGGAAACTTCTTTAAAACCCAAATACACACTTTCTTCGGGCATAAAATATGAATGTACTGTGATTTCCTTCCAAATGAGCAAAACATATATTTGGGCATGTTTTCTGTAAAATATATTTCAATTTAGAAGATCATCGAAAATCAGTAGAAAAATGCATGCTACTTAAGTATTCATTTTTAATCGAGGGTGGTTTCTGCAGGAGTTCAAAAAGAAGTGCATTCAAAAGCCGACATTCTGGCGAGTCCGAAATTTATAGAGTTATGCTGCATGATAATCAGTATAACAATCCCATCTAAGTAATCGTTCCTAATCGGAATCGCATTCCAGAATTTCGGCCAACATTTCATGAAATTGGACGCGCACTGCAAGTCGGTAGGCAAGATGTATTTGAAACCCAGGCTCACTTACTGCATGTCTTAATCTGTCGTCGGCAGCCGTCTACCTAATCATACCAGCAATGCTATTTACGGACCCTACTCTAGGTACCATATTCTCCGTCCAGGGCAGACTGTTTTCCTCTGGATCGCAGTTCTGTCCTATTCATATGTCCTTCTTTAAAAAAACGCCTGTGTTTATAGTTAAGTATGTGATATCCACTTTGGGGCTTCATTCCACGGCCCTCGTCAGCGGTCGCGCGGTGGCGATTAACTAAAAAATCGACAAGCAGTACGGCCATTTCTGACCTACTGGGTGTCGTCAACCAACCAGCCCCAGGCTGCGATGACCTGGGACTCTAGTCAAAGAGCATTTGAGTCAGGCACCCTACCGTTATGCCACCGTCTGCGTCCTGTTGTCTGCGATCGAGAATACCCAGTTAACGCAAAGTGACCTTCGCCACCGCCCCCCCCCCGCCGAGGGGGATGGTGGAGTACGAGCAGCTCCGTTTTGCCTTAGCTCCGGGTCTGGACCCCGCGCCGGTGCAGCACGCAGATGAGCAATCAAAAGTTGTCGAAAGAGAAGGGGAGACTGGAGCGGTCATGGTTAGGGCGAAGAAGCCAGTAATGACAAATCGACACGTCTTTGTCTTTCCCGGTAGCATTTCTCGATGTTTTTAGAAGTTTATTTGCTGCTGGGGTTACCTTTTAAATTTAGAAATGTTTCGTATTCCTAGTAATTGTACACCCATGCGTTCGGGTGCGCTCCGATTCAAATCTGGTAACAGAAACCAGTGTGACTTCACTTGTGTAGCAAGATGGTGTTGGTGATGCAGACAGCGCGCCCCACGGCTGCTGAAGGGATGATGGGATAAAGACTAATAAGACGGGTGGCCCTTCGAATCTGTATGGTGGTCGCAGGAAGACCAGGCTGCGATGATGTGGCAGCAATAGGCACTGCCTAGGGTGTAGAAGCGCCTAAAGTGGCAATAACATTTAGTCTTCAAGTTAAAAAGCGGTGATTTTGCGGTTGAAAAAACAACAAAACGTAGTTGTGCACCAACTAACTTGATCGGCGATTCCGCGCCCCCAAAAAATTTGATTTCATCGATCTGAGCCGGTGGTCTATGCGCCGAATACTTCGTCCTCTTCGCCCTTGTGTTCCCTCCCTAGAATCCCAGGCACGTCAACTAAAAGTATCAGACGAGGATAGTGGAGGTGTTGAAGGACTTGGTGGCGCCGGTGATAACACTGTTGAGACGTCGAACTCCAAGAGGGACGCTCGTGCTCTAGAATGCCGACGTTTGCAACGTCTTCTACGCGAGCACCTAGCAGCCTTTCTCGGTCGCAACGGCGCTGGTCTTCACACACTCAAGAAGCTGCACGCGGCGGATGTAAAGAAACTGTTTGTGCAGTCAAAATCCGGTGAAGCGGCCGCAGGTACCTACTGGCCTTTCTTTCATTTAACTAATGTGTTTTTTGCCGCCACTCAAGCTTCTAATAGCATGTTTGCGCTCCAACGCAGGCTAATATCCCAACTAGCTGTTTCCTTTAACAGGCCCTCCCGCAAGCATTGCGTGTAGCTCGAAGCGGAAATCTTACAAGACATTTCTCACCTAGACCCTGATAGAACTTTAAAAGTGATGCTTCGCACTACCGCTAGCTTTGCCCTTTTTGTGCTCCATCTGCTAAACGTTGATTCCTTCATGGAGGTTGTGAGTCTCACGGTTCTGCAAATGTCCTTGACCATAGCCCAAGGTGTCCACTTTTCCTGAGGCACCTTTATCCAACGTCCAAATTCTTTATAGAATCCACACCAAGCGCCGCTGGCTTCTTCAGCTGGTTACGCAGCGAGCCAATAGTCATTGCGTTGGTTAACTCCAGGCGTCCGTCCGAAACGGAGAAACTTATTGCTCCGCTGCCGTTGCTGTGCCTTTTGACAGATTTTGATCACATTGTATTTCCTCTTCTGTAACAAGACTGCTAACCATGGACTGTTATATTTTTTTTCCTTTTTATTACAGTTTCCGTGAAAGCTGATCACGTTCATGTGAATCCGGAGAAGGGCGGCTACCAGGTCACGCCTTACCTAACCATCGACTCGTAAGTCGCCTAAGCCCTGAAGACATATTGTTCCTTAAAGAAAGCATACGACGAAAATCTACCTCACAGACCTGTCTATATGTATCCCAGCCTACTATGCTTTCATACCTTCCTGCTACTTCATCTACGTTTGCCGAACTCATGGGTTCACAGCCAAGTTGAGGCACTGTTCTGATTGAGTTGAGAACACCTTGGCAAGAGGGCAAACACGGAGCCAGTGAATAATGCTGGAAAAGTCATTTGAATCGCTGTGCGCCCACACCCAGGCAAGGAATGGCTGATGAGAAGCTACTAGTGGAACTTCTTTTTTGCACTACCATATGTGGTACTTTTATGTGCGTCAGCTTTCTGCAAGTGTTAGTCCGCAGTACGACTCGCCGTTTGTGACAGCGAATAGGCCCAGTACAGCTGCTGTCTCAATCACCACATTTCACGTCTTTCATACGATAGATTCTAGGACTGCCAGAGGGTGGAATCAGACTAAATTACCTAAAGTTACGAAGGGAAATATGCTGACAGTAAAGTTAGATTCGGGTCACCAACACCACAAAAGCGCACGTCCACCTACAGCGCTTTCCAATAGAGGCAAGGTCTCAGCCTACCATTTCGAGTCCCAAGGCTTAGAAGTATCGTCTGCCAGAGGATTACTGAGCAAACTCCTGCCCACCTTTTCCGAATTTTGTGTTTGAGAACCTTCCCTTATGTGCCGAAGTGCTCGAAGGTGCTCCATAACACGGTCGGCTCATGCAGCCCTGATGGTGGTGTTCATTCTCCGCTTGTTTCAGACTCTATACACCGGCAGAACTAAAGGTGGAACCTGACGCAGGTGAGGCAGATACGGAGGCCGTAAATACCTCTCGACTATCCAGCTTGGAGCTTGCTCTTCGCTTGCATGGGCAAGTTGCTTTGGCGCTTGAAGCTGGGCAGGGTGCCCGGAGGTCGGGCCCGTCTGCTGACAAGTCCTCGACTAGCTCCTTCCCCCACCCTGAGGAGGCACCTGAAACCGGAAGGGAGGAAGTTGAGGCAGAAGAATATGAGGATTATGAGGGTGAGGAGGATGCATTGGCCAAGATGAAGTGCCCACAGTGTGGGAAACGCCTGCCTGCAAACGCCTCTACGGCCGATCTCCTCCGACACAAGAAAAGTTGTTCCACGCGAGGCCAATGAGAGACAGATAATCACAACTGTACAGATATATACGTTTTCTCCTATTTTTATCGATGAAGTGTTTATAGCGCACAGATAAAATTTGCTTTACATATGCACATGAATTTGCACAGAATTATTGGTGGTAAACAGGTACAAGAAAGACTTGAAAAAGGTGGCGCGAAAAAGGGCCGTAAAAATGGGTTTCACGGTTCTATTTGGTCATTTCGGATAGGAAGGCTGTCCGGCTAAAGGCGATGTTGTGAAGAATAGCTGGCATTCTTTGACGGCCTGGTTGTGCGCTTCGGAGAGTTTTTTGTCCTAAAATAGCAAGGCGAAGTCCTCTTAGGAGCGTCAGAGGCGAGGGCATGGCGTCATGTGTCTGGTGTTACAATGACATCGGAGTTTAAAGAAACAACTTGAGTGGGCTAGGGTGCCCATTCATGTGGGGCGGCGTTGCTTTTGGAGTAAAGGCAGCAGGATTTTGTGGTCCAATGCGTATCTGAGCCTAGTGTCACCACTTGTTTTACAACTGGAATGCAACGGGAATTAAAGGAAGGGAAATCCGACCGATGCTGAGCCAGTCTTCGTCATCACAAACTCAGACCCAAATCATTTCCTCAAAGACGGAAGAGTCGCCATCCGCCGTCGCATGCAACCGAAGCTACTTGGATATATTAAAGCCTCATATCTCGGAATAAGGGTAGCGTGAATAACAGGAAAAGTTGTCACTTTAACGTCCCCCTGGGCCTTTCAGTGTGTCAGCAGACCATCCCTGGTGTTGCAATGGGTTATGAGGCTGGCGATTTCCATTGTGAAAATACGTGTTGTGTCTCGGATAAGTGCGATGGCAGCCGAAGTTGATCTGAAAATTGATTCTTCCTAAACAAAGAAAATCTCGCCGGATTTCGTGGTCAGATACTTAAGCCCGAACATGGCAAATTATAAAACTACTGTTCTAGTGAGCAGCTTCTGCTATCTTTACCAAACTTTCTGCCCAAAAGCCAAGGGAAAGAAGAAACACTGACCAGACTCGGGCGGTCTTTGTCCGACTCTATCTAAATCTCTGGAATTTGCGTGCTGTCCGTGAGGAGACTAATGTGAGATATAGTTCATGCATCCAGAAGGCACCCATCGTCTGGGGTACCACATCGGCGCCACCCGAGTTTCATTCTCGAATTTAGTCTCTGGGGTTGTGTCTCAAAAAAACGATCAAACAACCGGCAGATAACGTAGCCCATCAACTACGCTTCTCATACTCTCCGGTTGAGGCGGCTTACTCATGAGTTGCGCCCTCTTAAGAGCGAAATCTTCCGTGATATCCCCTCATCCGAATTCGGTTCTGGCTGACGACGGCGTCGAGGTATTCAAACAAGAAATTGGGCGCACGTCATGAGGTCTGGCCCATTCTCAAGCGACTCCTACCGAAAGGAACAAACGAAGTCAGTCACGACCTATCCTCTTCCCATACTCCAGTTCGTGCCCATGCCAGTTATGCAGAACAGTTTCCGACTACAGTATTGGCAATAGCCTAGAGTTAGGCTCACTTTCTTGACTAACTAGAGCTCGTGGTCGGGAGTATTTTTAAAACAAAAACCTCATAGAGCAGTCTAATGCAACATAGACTCACCAAATGACTAACAAGCACGCTGCAGGGTATCCAGATTGAAAGACTGAGTAATATTACCACGATGACGAGGTTGTCCCACAAAAGAACGGCTAAAAAGTTGCAGGCGATTTTAAGCAAGGCTGCTTTAGTCTTGTGTAATGCAAAGAACATACATTGTTGAGATGTTAACATAACAAAGAAGGTCGAGTCTGCTTGATACAACATGGGCCCCTCACCAAAGTATGCATTATCGGGCAACACTAGTTCTACATGGCGCGTAAGAAAAGCGCTTAAACAGCCTACGCTACGGTTTTACGCCCATAGCATGAGCATTAGGCTCATTCCATGGTTAAAACAAAGTTCGTAAACTCCTTTTTGATCGCTAAGGTTCGATAAGAATAGCTTGACAGAGATGGTAGAAATTTTGCAAGGAACTGCATACACAGGGGAAGCCAGATCAGTACTCGTCCGTGTGCAGCCCCCTTCTACGCGTCGGTCAGCTCCAAATGAGCTTACTTTCGCAAGTCCCCCAGACGAGTTAGTTAAGGAAAACATCGTCCACAGAAGCGCCAGCAACCATAGGGTTTTGTTACAAAATTTCAAAGGTGTCTATGGATGCGCCCGGAAACTTCTGCCACAACCAAGATCGGTGGGCACCCGCCGTCAGGTTGATTTGTCCTTTACAGTTGCGAATTCTGATCTATACAAGTGGAAGTCGGAGATGGGTACTCGTGACCACTACCCTGCGGGTACAATCCCCTCCGGTGCACGAGTTCTATGCTAATGCACTTCATTCAACATCGCCGGCTCATCCGCGATGACGGAAAGCAGATCCACATAAAATTTCACTCGATGCGATATCAAGGGGACTCCTGGAGTTTGCGTACTCAGTCTTCGGCTTTGCTGAAGACTAGGTTGAGCTCTCCCGGTCAGCTGCCTCAGATCATCGCACAAGGAGAGGCAGCATTCACAGCATCAACAAGGTTAGCTGGCTCACTTATGATCATAGCCGTAGGAAGTATAGGCAAGTTGTTCCTCCAGCACGGCATGACGAGTGGCAGATGTACAGTGCGTGACCGATCTCATGAAATGTTGGCCGAAATTCTGGAATGCGTTTTCGATTAGGAAGGATGGTGGGGTTGTAATATTGATTAGCATGCGGCATAATCCTATAGTATTTCGGACTCGCCAGGATGTCGGCTTTTGGATTCACTCCTTCTTGACCTCCTGCAGAAACCGTACTTGGTAATAAAAAGTGACTACTTAAGCAGCATGCACTTTCCGCACTGATTTTCGTTGGCCTTATAAATTCAAATATATTTTATAGAAAACATGCAGAAAAGTAAGCTTTCTTTTACTCATTGGGTAAAAAAAAAACATTTTCTTTGAATTTTATGCACGAAGAAAGTGTATATCTAGGTTTAAAAAGTTTCTAATTATGCAATTTTTAAGACCATGCGATGTCCATGCATACAGGACCACACATGTCCGTTTACTACCGTAAAATGTACAGAAGGGTTCGGATCCATTGCAAAATTTTATAAACTTTACATGGTGTCCTCTTGAAGGCATAGAGGAATATATGATGTTCGTTACGCGAAAAGCATGCACCTTATTCACTTAAATCGCTGAGCACTGATGCAATGGCAGATCAGACTCAAAAATATTACGGAATTGGGAAACTATTTCAAAACCTAAATATACACTTTCTTCGTGCATAAAATGCAAAGGCAATGTTATTTTCTACCCAATGAGTAAAATAAAGCTTATTTTGTGCACGTTTTCTATAAAATATAGTTGAATTTATAAGACCATCAGAAATCCATAGGAAAAATGCATGCTTCTTACTTTTTTACCAAGTACGGTTTCTGCAGGAAGTTAAGAAGGAGTGCATCCAAAAGCTGACATCCTGCCGAGTCCGAAATGTTATAGGATTACGCCGCATGCTAATCAATATTACAACCCCACTTAAGTAATTCTTCCTAATCGAAAACGAATTTCAGAATTTCGGCCAACATTTCATGAGATCGGTCACGCACTGTTTTCATGACTTTTTAACCTGTTTTTCCCTGTTACCGGTTGGCCGAGGTTATAAGCCCCGCATGCCCGAAGGACTCAAGGCGCAGAGTCTTACCGGCTGAAGCTGGTGGCCGTGGGGGAAGCTGTCTGGTAAACATGGTTGGGTCAGATCGTTAATTAGGAATATTCCAGATAGAATATTGCGCCACTTGTGACAGCTATGGTGGTGATCAGGATGACGACTGTTAAGATTATTCTGGTGGCGGCAGAGGTGGCGCATCGCACAGGTATCTGTGGAGCACGGCGAGACGATACGCTGATTCGTGCACCAGTCAGTAGATGCGGTAGACATGGACTTCAAACAGGTTATACAGTCTGGAAGGAGGGAACTCACTCCATTGGCTCTCAGCAAAGTAAGTAAACCAGGGCCATAGGCGTGCCACTCGGTCGAAGTTCGACTCCTTGCAAACCCCAGCATTGCAGTAGCCAAAAGAACAGGGCCTATCGTCGTCTAGGAGCATCACAGAAAATCCGACGGGTGACACTTTATGCAGAGGTTTTGTTTCGGAGGACACGGCAGACGAGGCGGTGAGACTGAAATCCAGGGGAGCTATAAAGAGTATAGGCTGCTTTCCGGAAGCGCCACTCAGAGTGAGATCGTCACTGGTGAGGTTAAACACCTCCCACTGGGAGCTGTCCACCCTGGAGAGGTCACCCCATTTGTAGGCATCGCCAGGATTTGGAGATGGGATGACAATGGGCTGGCATATTTGATTCACTTGATCCCCAATTTTAACTTTAAGGACACAGCAGATCAGACACGAAGCCCCTGCTGGAGGAGGGGAAAGGGGGAAGACCGATGGCTGGGACTTAGATAAAAGAGAAATTAACGAATACTCGGATAATTTGGCTTTTATCCTGCGATTTAATTTCACGGGACATTTGGAGCCTTCATGAACAATATTGCCGAAGAGTCTGTGGAGTTAACGAGCGAGTGCTGTCATGGGGACTCGGACAGTTGCCCACCTACGGGCCGCCTTTGGAGGCTCTAAGTCTGATATATCTTGGCTGCAAATATTAGCTGGTTCTTGCCTTTTATGGAATAGTGGTTTTACATAAGCCTGGTGTGAATCTATTAACGTCCGAGCATGATATCCCCAGTAGTATATGGTAGACAGGACTTACTTTGAGTTCGGATGCTTCATTAACCTAAATGAGAGGTCACGGTAGTATGTATCCATGCAGCAACATTTACTTTCAACCTAAATAAACTTATTCGGTTTTGGTAGATTACAATGACTGAACTGACTACTCAATTGCGAAAAACGGTGGAATTCGAACCCGCAACAGATAGGGCAAGGCAACAAATGGAACTTCCTGATTTTGTATGGTGGGCTGACAGTTATGGCGGATTTTTCTGAATAAACAACCAGAAGGAGTATCAGGCAGGTTGAGTAAGTAGGTATTGTGGCCTATTTTAATGACGCCGCTGAACACCCGACCGCGAAAAAGTCGGCAGTCTCAACGAATTTCGAACTGGCCACAGAAAACCTGTTTGGGCCACCAACCTACTGCATAATTGATGGATTCTGCATGCTAGAGAAGTTCGCGACTAAACTCAAGGCTCTCGCTAGCGGCCTCGTAGCTCAGGCGGTCAGAGCTCTGGCTGTACTGAAGTCACACTCCCTCTCTAGCGGTTTCAAACTCCGCCGAGGCGGCTGGCTTTTTCGCAATTAGCCTAGTCACTAGTCTTTTAGGCAAAGAAGGATGGGCAAAATACACCTCTGATTGCAGTCCACTTGAGAGGCATTGTGTCGGAGATGGAATTAAAGCCCTTTTTCCCGCCTTAACAGCCTGGATGTCAAGTCTACTGTGTATAGGCCTCCACTTGCACGTCAGATTTCCGTGTCCAGCGGGACAGTCCGGTCATATTTGGTCTGCCTACCTTGCATCACCTTGAACAGTTATACCGCAGACGCCGGTGGTGGGCTGGCGTCTGCGCACGAGTCCGACGATGAGTCGGTTGCCAAAAGCTGACATTTTCAAGCGCTTTAAGGACCCAGTGCTCAAGTTGGCGCACTCGAAGGCGTCCCAGACACCTTGTACAGAACAGTCATCCTCTATTCCTGAGAGTCTGCCCTCACTGTCAGGTCCGTGGGCACGTCTTCAATACTGAGCGTTCCGCATAGATTACGCTGCCCCGGTTGCCCAGCGTGAAGGGTAAGAGCCAAGTGGCACTGTTGACTGGTAAAGGAATAAACACTACAAAAGTTGACAATTGTCGGCATTTCGGGTGGCGTTCATGTTGCTCGCGACATTTAAAGGAAGTGCTAGAAGCCATGCGAACAAAAAGTAAGGTCGAGTGCAGGGGAATGATAAACCAAGTGGGACCAAATCTGCCAAAACTCACCATTGTCACAGATGCATGTGGGAAGACCAAGACTACTGCAGAAGGGGGCACATACGCCCTTATCGCAGTAACCGTGTTCGTGACAACGAGTTGACGATGAGGGCGAAGGCCCAGGACAGGTGGGCGCCTCCCCATCGCAAACACCGGGCTCTAGACAGGTGCTAATGGCGCTGGTCTCAGCACACAGTGTCCCTCTCGGCGCGATCTGACAGTCTGTAGAAAAGACACAAATAAACAGTGGCAACAAGTGGTAGCCCAATGAAAAAATTGGGTACGGATAGCGCTGACGTTTCGAGTCTGTCATGAGGATGCACGTAAGCCGAGTTGACATGCCAGCAGTATTTGAACTGAGAAAATCAACAAAGCAAGCGGGTTCGGAAAGCCAAAAACTTTCAGTAGTACTCACGGACCCAAATCGGGTCTTTCACATGCGACGTTCAAATCCTGGTGCTCTTAAAGTGATTGGTTACCTTTCGTCCTGCATTTACGATTCTTATTCTACAACCAGAAAACGGATGCGCCCGATGGAACACAGAATGTCCAAACTGAGAAGTCTGGACAATTTTGCTCAGCAACTTTTTTTCCACTTGAGGCTTCATGGACAACTCCCTGCTGAACTTTTAGGGGTTATGAAATGCGAAAGTTAAAAGGTTTCCCGTTGTCGTCATGAGTAAGGTTCACTGTGAGCAAACGTACTTTAATGCTTTGACAATGCTATCCAAAATAAACATGAGATGTTCGAGTCCACAAGCGCAGGTTTGGACAATGAATCTGATGTTAACGTCCGACCACAAGAAACAGTGTCTTAATCCGCCATCTTTGGGAGGATCTGCTAGAGACAAAAAACCAGCTGATGGATTTAAGCCTTACCCCTGGTGCAGCAGTTGTGGTTCAAAGGCGAACACTGGGCGCCGGCTCGCAGTTTGCACGAGGTCGTGCAGCAGTCAGAGGTCACAGAACGACCGGGATCGCATTCCTCACCCGGATCCACTCTAGAGTTGCCACACTGGTTCATCGGAATACCAACTTCTTCCTCGAAGCATAAGGGGGCCTTGGAGAGAAGAACTTTACTCATAGCCCGACGGCTACAGGGTGAGAAAAGCTGGTGGAAAAACAGGGACAGGCTGTTAGGTGAAGCTGGTAAATTGGCACGGAGAAAGCATGCTGTGCACCAAACTTGAATGGAGTTAGTAACGAACTTTTAACATAAAGAGTCGTTCGTCATCGCCGAAGAAGTACAACCAAATTAGAGCGAACGGAAGTACGGTGGAAAAGGGAAATAATTTAAACCGGCGTTCGGGGTTGATACCAAACATCTAGAATGTGTGTGATTAGACTCACGGCTCCCGGTGGGGCCTTGTAGCTAAGGTGGTTATAGTGTTGGCTGTACTTAAGCCTTCCACCTTCTGTCGTGGGTCCGAATCCCACCGAGATTGCCTAGTTTTTTCGCAGTGGAGCCAAAATAAACATAGGCTAGGTTAAACGTCCCATTGTAAAGGAAAACCGTGGGCTTTATTTAATGTTTCAGTCTCTAAAGGAGGGCGCTGGACCCTGCCAACCTGGTACTGTCCGATTTACCTTTCCGGGTGAACGCAAATCGAAATTGTATATCGATTTGAGACAGCAATGGACCTAGTGGCTGGTCAATGCTTAAAGCACTGGAAAGAAAAGACAGGAGGGGCAACTTACGTAGTTGTTGGGAGAATAGCCGGAGACTGCATATGTGTACATCAAGAATTTTCCACCTTCCGCAGCCGATGGACTGCATTCCGCGGTGTTGGGATCGTGTGGAGCACCGAGTGAGTGCCCCAACTCGTGCGCGGTTACCAGCTCGGCTAGACTACTCAGTACCTGTGTGCCGTCTGAATCGGAGAAGGAGGTGAAACCTGTGTTGGCGGCCAGTACTTCAGCATCGGCAACACCTAGGAAGGATGAGGTTGACAGTGATCTCTTGCCTTTGACTTGTAAGCAAGACTCATGGCAGTAAAAGTGGGCCAGTGTCACGAACTCGATGAAGCTACCGGGAGCGGCAGTGGTTCGCGCGCAAATTGGGTTATGTTGGGGAGCACCTAGGCAGCATAGATCTAGCACCTGTGCTGCCAGACTGGTAAATGGTTACATAACAGATCTCAATCTCCTCCCGCACTCGTGGTGTTCAAGTGGCAGACAAAGGTGTGACGGCTTGTTCAGTACCTTAGTGGAATGACAGGCCTGGCATAAAACTCCCCTATAGGCGTGTTTCAGCATAACTGGTCCCTCCCCTATAGCCGCATTAGGGTGCACACAAATTTATAGACCCTGGTTAGGTCAGTGAACTGCATTAACCGACCTGTCAAAGCTGCCTCTGGGTGTGCCCACCTGAGGCTACAGATGACAGCTCGGGGACAGACAAGGTCAGTGTAGAATAGCCATATCATGCAGCCATCAATTCTTCGAAGTTACTATCCTTTACTGCGCACTCCAAATACTGACTATCGAGGAAGATGTGGACAGGTCTACGAACGTCTAGGACTGTCCAGCAAAGAGTTTACAACAAAACATCCGAATGATAGATGCCGATCAGCGCGGGGTTACAGGGGGACTCACTGGGAGGAGAGCAGACGCCGCCGAGGTGCTGCATGGCTGGACTGGCCATCCAAGACATGCCCAAAACGCCGAAGAGATTGGGTGAATATGTAAACAGATGGATGAGACAAGCCTCACCGAAGGATCTTTGACTAAAAGTCTGTGGTAAAGGAGTGAATAGACTTTATGAGGCAATAGCAAAACGGGCAACGGTAGAACTAAATGGGGTTAGTGGGCAGCAAAAAGCAAACTAGTCCCTAAATGCGTGGCAATACAATCGCACCCATTGCAACGGCACCTCACATACGGCGAAAAGGAACACAGCTACAGGTTGCGCAAGAAAGGATGAGGGTGCCAAGATAATACTTTGGGGAAGAAGAGTTCTGTTGAAAGTATGTATCATCAAGCATGTGTTTCGGGTAAGTGTGTCGATTGACCATCGGAGGAATGCAAGCTGCACAAAAGAAATCGGGCCCAACTTTAAACCGCTTGCCAAAGGCTATCCGAAGCTGAGGCAGCACAAAAACGGCATGACTTGAGTTGGTGACGCGGTTTTAAGGAGTCAGCTCGAGTAACCGGCGAATAGGTGTCTCCCCCGTCTACCAGCTTACACGCCATCATCTTCTAGGAAACCAAAATAATGCAACCGCAGTCGGGTGGGGCAGATGGACAAGAAACGGCGTGATATCTGAAAGAGAACCTGGCGAACCATCAAACCCAGCAGCAACACCAAAACTCCAACGATCTTCGGTGCCATCGCATAAATGCTTTCCGGAGGGTTCACACGATTGAGTATGAACAACAACTGAGTGATTAACAGATTACTACCGCTAAAACAGAACTGACAGGTGCTTATTCTTGGGAAAGAATTTTTAACGTTAAGGCTCTCGTAAAAGGAGCATTCACTCCGATGACAGAAGGCGGCTGATGGTTCTACTGAACCTATTTTCCAATAATAGGTCTCCAAGAAGGTTTAAGATATCTTAAACACGATATCTTAAGCCTTTTCCTGTTGGGTTGTAGAGTATCATGTCCCCCCCCAAGAAGACAGTCCAAGGAAAAAGCGACCGAAGCGCGCAGCCAAGAATCTCTACGATGACGATATATATACCATCGACTTCCGTAGGATTGTTAATTACATTATTTCCGTTTTCTTTAGCAGTCCGATTCCGAAAATACAGAACCAAGCTCAACCTTGCCGTTGGCCTTGTCTCCCACAGAAAAAGGTGTTTGCCTTACATTCATGTATGTTGTTCGTAGGACATAAGAGCCATAAACATGGGCGTCGAAGAAGACATGTACCGTCGCACGAAATGTGGTCTAAGCTTAGGGCCATCCTACGATGGATCATTGCAAATAGCAAAGAAAACACGAGGCGGCTGCACGAGATTGCTTTGAAGTTGGAAGCCCAATCGGAGGGAAGAGCAACCTCCTCAACGCCTACGTCCGCTTCTACGCCTGCGGGGCCCATTTTCAAGCTCATGGCAACCTTACCGGATGTAGAAGTTCTTACAGGTGATTTGTCGGATGCTGCCTTTCGGCAGCAGGTGGTAAGTTTCGTATGACCTTCAGATTTGTCCGAGAGATTTCTCATTTGTCTAGTTTTGGGAGAGAGGGAGAACATAAGTGTATTCGCTTATCGATTGTTCATGGTCCTGTTTGCAGACGAAATCACGAATCACTCAACATTTTATGGTGGACAATGGGGCAAGCGCGCCTTCTATGGCTCCGCTGCCTACGCAGTAGTCCTGGGTATGACAAGCATTATTTTCCGCATTTGCCATATTCCTAAACAGATGTCTTTACAAGATGGAATGGCGAAAACAATTCGGATCGCCCACAACTCGAGAAAATGTTCCGAATCGTTTTCCGGAGGGTCTATGACCGCCTACAAAAACGGGCGAACAAATTATCGACATCACATCAAGTGGACGGTTAGTTAACCCTTCATGCTCCGACTTATTGCAATTCATATTTCTGTTACAATTTCTTTTAGAAGATGCGGACGAAGTCGACAGTAATCGGCGTCCTCGACCGTCTGGCTCCTCATCAAAGACGTAGAAGGGCTTGTGCGCACATGTTAACGAAGACAATTTTACATTCTTACATAAAGACTACTTTGTACCTGATTGTGCACATTTTTGCTGTATACCTGTACATTCCGCATTATTTTTTTAAAAAAATTTAATAAAAACAACCCCATTAGTCGCCTTTACTTCTACTGCTTACGGGATAGGTTGGCATTGCGGGCATAAAAAGGAGGGGAAACGGCTTTAGTGGGGGGGCTATTAAGACGCGAGATTAGAATTTTCTGCGCAGATTTTGTTCCGAGCCTCTGCGCCGATTCTATGCCGGGCCTCGACACAGATTCTGAACAGAATTAAGTGACAATCTCGGCGTAGATTCTGCGTGGATTATTCTAAACCTCTGCTTACATTCTGGCCAGAATTGTTATTAGGGATCCTTCATTGAGGCTCTTAGGGGGCTGTCGTGTAGACCCTGTATTATGCACAAAAAGAATTCGGACTAGCAAGCGGACGTTGACGGTGGAACATGTTACTTGGGAAAGACGGCAAAAAATCAGCTAGATGACAATTGTATAGGAAAGTAGGGTGCTTCTAGCGAAGGAGATGGCAAACTGTGAGAAAGGGTGAATCAGGACCAAAAACAGTCAAATGCAAGTTGTTGTGTGATCTATTGGTGCTAAAAACCGAAGAAGAAACTTACATGCAGAAGTTTTCGTGGTGATAGTTTATCTAAGAAGGCCCCAGAACTAATCGATTCAATCGTAATCTAGATTTAAAACGAATAAAACGCATAATAAGTAACATGTAGCAACGGTTACGTCAGCGAATGCGTCCGAAAATCTTAAACTTAAATCCCGTTTAAATTCAGGCTTGTATGAGAGACGCTCCCCTCGACTGTTGACAACAAACGGTAATATGATTCACAGATCCTCTTTGTCGGCCAATCGTAAGTTAACCCTTTGCTTTATAAAACATCAAATCTCCTAGGCAATATTTAGGCAAATTAAAGAATGAATATGACAAGTACATATACAGATCCTTATTTACAAACCAGCAAAAGAGGTTCTCGAATCCAATCCAAGTCGAACATCCTTTCCAAGAGGAAGAGGAGCATAGCAGATAGCGTTCGGCAGCCGTTTCCTCTTTTTACCAAACTCGAGGCTATTATAGTCACGCAAAAGGCGCGCTAGCTAGAGTAAGATGTCAAGCGTTCACTACCACCTTGGTTGTCTCCGGTGAGCATCACCAAAAATGCGAAAAATCAGGAATTTACTGAGGTAACTTACCCCTTTCAGGTAAAATCCATAACCCGTTACTGGGCGTTCATCCTCGTCATAGAAAACAGTTGAAAGAAATATCTCGTTCACTCGGTTAAATGTTTTTATCTAAAGGGCGTGAATATGTAGAGGCAGGAAAACGTACCAGTATGTCCACTGTCTTCGCATGATCCCTTCTACCAATATTGGAGAAGAAACTGTAGTCGGCGATGAAATGCAGGCCACAGAGTTTACGCTTTTCGGGAAGACTGCGATGCGTTCGGCGCCAAACGGCTGAATAATGCAAAAGAGGGGATTTAATAGATAGATTTTGGCTAATGGTAGTGACCGCATCAAGTGCTGTTGATGCGAACATTGCAGTCAACGTTACTATGCTTCGGACCAGTTTTAGCTAAGGCTCACGAAAGTTGCATTCAGCACCGCATACCGCGGTTTAAATTCGCCGAAAGTAATTATAATAGTCGAGATAATGTGTTCCCTTTGTGAATATCTGGACGTATAAGATCATCCAGCGTCCAATTAATTACTGAAAATTGGCCGAATTAGCTCATTAGTCAGGCCAACTGGCTTTCGTAACTTTGCGTACCAATTCCTGTGTACAGGGAGTCTGTCTGAAATGATGGGAATGTACTTAATGAGGCGTCTGGATGTATGAATAGTAGAGTGTTGCGGTTGCGACACGATTTTAAACTATCACGGTGCCATAAAGGCCGGAGCATGGAAGGCCGCCAACTGACGGGATAACTCTGTCCTCTCAGGATGGAGAATCAGGCTGCAATGCCTCTTTCCCAATGCGGCTCCTATTACATTCTCACTCAGAGCGGTGTCGAGTCTCCCCTTGTTCCTATGAGACCCTGGTTCTTTGTGCCCGGATCAGGCGTGTATGACACGCGCGCGGACGGGTTTTTTAGCTTTGTCAGTCACTGCAGTCTTCTTAACTCGATGTAGATATTGGGCTCAGGTTGGTGGGCGAGGAAGGAGTCCGGTAGATGTTGCACACCACTATAAACTACTTCAGAAGACCAGTTGGCGAGCATATGTGTGCTTTCAATAAATTCTTATCGGGTTAGTACATTTATGCGGAAACGGGGTACAAGCAAAACATGTGAGAGATAACAGAAATTAAGTAGTCTGTCTTTTCATACAAGTGGGCTGTAGGAACAGGGGAGAGGAGCGGATGAATAAGAGACGACGAGACTTAGCGGAACGGCGGGGGATGGCGGTTAACTGGAAGCGTCCCTGGGCCCTTCCCCTGTCCCCCTAACTCGCTGGCTCTTACTCATCCCCTCCCCTCCCCTGTTCCCAAACCCTACTTGCATGCCAAGACGGACTTCACTCGGCTTCTCTTGTCTCAAATGTTTCACATGTACCTCGTTCCCATTTAGATGTACTGGCCCGATGAGGATTTAGCGAAAGCACGCGTCTACCCGCCAACTGGTCTTCTGAATCCTTTCACTGGAATTATCGTAACTTTATAAACTAATTCACGTGCGAGTAACCGGCCCTGCGTGTACCATGCTGCGGGGCATACGGTGGACATCGCACCTTGCGACGGTCAAAATTTTAACAGAGAATAAGAGGATTTCGACTACTGCCTTCGGGTGGCCTACAGTGTCTAGTTTCATTTGATACCATCTTTCAGATGCTAAATAAAGGTTGCGTGCATCTGAGGAATCAGAAAAATATGCCCCCTCCTCTTCGTAAGCTCGCATCACTGTATTGGTAAAAAAAAGTGTGAAGGCCGGTCGCGTGGAAAGTTTGATTATTATGAAGGTCGCGCAAAATGATTGTGGTATTACTTACGAGCACCAGGGTTAGCATGGTCTGCTGAAGGTGGAGACGGGAATATGTCATCAGCAGAGGAGCTGGCGCAGGCTAAGAGAGACGGATAAAGTAAGACATACAAATTGAAATTCCGGACATCATTAAGACGATAAACAATTAATTTCCCATCGGAGCTGTCCTGTTGATAAACTGTAAGAGGCTAAATGGAACCGACACTAAGAAAAAGACACTTTCTCACCTCTATTATGATCACACTGTCCGAAAGAATAAGAGTTGCTGAAAATTCTCCTTTTGGATTTACGTGGGCATAAGCAGAAGAGGACGTAATCTCGATTACGTGTCCCTTGAAGAAGTCCGGGAGAGCAATATTGGTCGTATCGAAGGGATCGTTATCAGGAAGGTGTATTTGCAAGGCATTCTTATCAAAATTAGACAAAGTCCGAGAAAGATGAATTGTGAGGTCCCTAGAGAATAAACAGTAAACAAAAAGAATTATCTTACTTGCCGAAAATTTGCAACCGTACATCGAGAAAGCGAAGATTCGAATAATTTCTTGATAGGTCGGGATTGTTTATAATTTCATAATGACTGAGAATATCACTAAACTCTAAAATGACATATGGAAGTGGGATTGGAGGAGATAAACAAGAACTGCATGCCGGTCGAAAACTAAACTACTGATAGTTAGCATTCGTCAAATCAAAGAATGCGCTTTAGCATGTAAAAAAGCAGAATTCAGGTAAACTAGGCACCGATGGAATGTTTTGTTGGCGACAAGATAAAGGACCAGGAATGTGCTCGTGTGATCAGATCGAACACTTGAACACGGGGTACTCCTGAAACAATAAATTATTAATTTCGAATAGACGGCTATTACTAGCGTTTTATTTGATAACTAGGATGACCACTTGGTTATTAATGACCACAAGAGATGCTGATTAGGCAAACAGGAGACTGAAACATACTACGTCAGCAGTATAATTAACAATAATTAACGGAAAAGGGCTTTCATGTCGACCTTTATTCACCTAAGCGAGCACAACGGGGAAGAAAGCCACAATGTGTAAAGTGGGTATGACAGTAGATTTCGACGATGTCCACCGTGGGTTCCACAGCAGAGTGAGAGCAGAGACGGTGACTTACGCGCACATTAGTTTATAGTGATAATAGACTTACGCACCACCTACAGCACTCTCCTCCCCCACCTGGACCCGATGTCATAGTTAAGTAAAGAAGATCGGAGGTGGGAGAGGCCGCGGCGGAGTGGTAGCTGGCGCTGCCGCCACATCCGGCTCGGATCCCACCAGTCGGCCACTCCACACAAACACACACTAGGCTGACTGCGAGGTCCGAGTTGTCTCGTCAGTTGGTAACCTTCTAAGACCCATCCATAAGACAAGGAAAACGGCCAGGATGTTAATAGGTGGCCCAGTCCATCCAAATACTCCGAAAAGAAAATAGAAAGTGGTTTGCCTATACAATTCTTTCTACATGGCAATCTACTCATTGAACATACCCATGTAGGTATGACAGCGTATGCGACCTATGCTGCCAGAACGTGTTGTTGTATTAAAAACAAAAGGCAAACCGATATAGTTTAGAGAAATTGTCTCTCCTTCCTCCTACGGCCAGAAGTCTTCTATAACATTTGACTAATGAGTAGTAAACGTAAAAATGAAGTAAATTGTTGCGATGAAAAATTAATTTATTGCATAAAATATATGTCTATATAGTAGGCTGGCCCTCATTGATCGCGTTATGGGACGCACTCGCTCCGCTTTGTCCCGGGGCTCGATCTCCAGCCCCGTCAGTAGCTAGTGTTATGGGCAGAATGACATTGCCTATGAAGACACGGGAGACCTGAATGACCGATTCTGGCTCGTTAGCCGTCATCAGCCAGTCATACCTAAATCCCGAGGTGTGCAACCCTCGAAGCCATTCCAGTCTCCCTTGCCTTTGTCGGCAATGTCATTCTGTCCATAATACTGGCCGCATTGCGGCTGTTAGCGGGACTCGAAATTAGGCTCCAAGGCACAACGCGACGAGTGGGTCCCGTAACGCGATCAGTGAGCGCCCCTTTACCATTGTTAATATGGCCGATCGCAACCGAAAGGACAACGAGATCGTGAGTAAGCGGTTAGTGGCGTTGGACTTCTAACCAACGGGCCCCGGAATCGAGTCTCAGGCGTTCCGTACTTCGGGGTTGAGCATGGCTGGTTTATGACGGCTAATAAGCCAGAAATCGCCATTCCAGTCTCCCTCGCCTTAGTCGGAAATGCTGTTCTACCTCATATATGAATCACGGAGGTAGTGTGTATTGTGAGATGATACAATAAAAGTAGACGGCATGTCAGAAAACCAAGCTGGTTACACAAACCCCTTGTCAGAGGAAATGAATGTTGGGGGTGGGAAAATTGCACTAGAGCGTTGGTGGATATCGAGGTCACGTCGACGGAACAAATGTCCATGTAAGGGAGTGAGTAGCGTGTTTAGATGGGTGCCAGAAGTTAGGGGGTGTTGAGGGTTTCAGTTATGGTTCACTTTTTCAAATGCGTTTTTGGGAAAAGGAACTTCATTGCGCAAATTCTCGACGCCGACCGTCCAGATCGTCGTCAGACGCAAACGGAAAGCAAATCTGCTAACAACAGTTAACATCTGAATTATTCACACAAGTAACTTAGCTCTGATCGGTAGACCTCTTCGTCAGAACAAAGTGCCTTCGCTAGACTAAGCAGACTGTAGGCCGTGCTCAGTCTGCGAGAAGTAATGTGGTTGCTCTCATATAATAGAATGACCTCCACATATGTTGCTTTGTAGTACACCGATATGCGCTATGTTTTGTCGGTCTTCCGCTGTACGAGAACACCTTGAAATGGGGGTTTTATCAACATCTTTCCCGAATGTTAACTTAGTGCCCGGAATCGTTGAGTTGATAGTGCTATGAGCAGTTTTCAATCAATCCTTATTAACGATCACAAATGTGTCGTCTAAATGTTGCAGCCAAATTTAAGGATGAAATAACGGAAGAGCCATGGCCTCTAGCTTCTGTATTGTGATCTCGGTGAGAAAGCCAGAGATAGATTGCCCCATTGCACTGGGGTACAATGGAGATAGCCATGACAACGTCTGTCCCTATGAAGCCCAGACCCTAGGAGAAGTATTAACACGTGTAGCGCCCCACGACATGAACAGTATTGTTTGAATGTTGTAACACTTTTCGGCGCGCTGACCTAGGGTGGAGATGGCGTAACCGCGTGCTGGTGAAGATGAGCGGTATCCCTTCCTCCCACTTCCGCCGACCCCTTCCCCGCATCTTACCTTGACGTGCGTATCGTTCTTCTCTTCTCTACGTCAGCATCTCCCTCGGCACTCCCCTGCAGTTGCCCACAGCGCTGCGTTCCCCACTGGCTAATTAGCTGGCATGTCGGTATCGCCACTTCACCCAGACAGGTTATTCTACAGTTGGAGCCCATCCTGCCTGTACTATTAACAATTATAAAACGCATTTCCCGTGCCCACCTCGTTATATTATACTATATCACTTACTCTACGTACTTTTTTCTCGTGTGTATGGATGCGTACCAAGATATGCTAACCGTTCTGTTCAGATCTATCTCCGTCAATATCTCCTCTCAGCGTTTTCTTACTTTGGTGTGTGCTACCCTTGGCGTTCTCGGCCGCTGCACACGGCACAGCGACAGTAATTAATTGCTATTAAATGTTAATTAACGTCGGGACTGGTTAAGTTAACCAAACAGATTCTCAACAGGCAATAGTTCATTACCATGACAATAGACATGAAACATTAAAAACAGACGTACTTTTTGCCGATGATATGAAGGAAGAACTAATAAGAATATTTACAAAAATAACGATAACGCCATCCATCGAAGCCCACAACCACAAGACCACGCCAAATTAAAAGACCCCCTGCCACCCCACCTTTGTCAAAGCAACAAATCAGCTTAATTATGCAAATGATTGTAATAATGCGTTATTACTGTTTTTTGACGTATGCGCATAATTTATTCATCTACTGGGCACGATGGGAAAAATTTATATTGCACTTTGAGCATCTCTGCAGTGCATGTTGCTTTGCATCATAAGCTGCATGTTTCAGATGAAAATAATAAGTTTACGACATAAATGCATTTGTGTTGGACAGATACGTTTTGAATATGCTCACATGATGGTTGCACCGCATTACGTACTGCTTATGGTGACTTTGCTTAGTTCCACGAATGAATTTACTACAGTCCATTGCAGGTCTATTCGTCCGAATATGCCTGACATTTACCACAAACATCTCCACAGTCTGTATGAAGTAAGGACCCCAAATCAGTCCACGCAATCTGCCCCGTTGTGTGAGTGTTTTTTGTGGAGTGGCAGACTGGTGGGCTGATGTGCAGGATGAAACAACCCCTTCTTATCAGTCACACGCATGTGAGATGTGTGCCGCTCAAGCGCCGCTGTGTGAAATCCTGGTGTTTGTTTTTGGGGGCCAGATCGTGCATATAGCGCGCAGACAAGTTCACTAGATAAGTCGGCCTATTCCTCGTACGTGACAGTTGGTCGACTCTCACAGTGACTAGAACCTGGGAATGAGAATGGAAAATGAGGTCGGCGACTCAAAGCATTTTACTCACTGTAAACAATCTGGCGCGCGTGAAGCTACCGCGGTGAGCTAAAAGCCGCGGCCTGGGAGGTTGCCAACTGATGGGATTACTTGGACCTCGCAGTCGGTCCAGTTTTATGGTTTTGTGTGGTGCGGCCGACTAGTGGTCTAGCTATTCCAACCGTCTTTCACAAAGTGCACATCTAAATCCGTTTACTAGCCTGGTTGCTGTTGATTGTACGTTCTCCAACAGAGTTTAATTTTGTTTCACTCAGGGATGCTACGCCTGAAAGTTATGTTCTGGCATTGACCGAACGAACGTTCCAAATACTCCACCGAAAAGCTACTCGCCAAAATCGTCGGTCACCTAATCGCTCTTAGGATACCCATGACCATTTTTGATATCCTGGTGTCGTGAGACGACGATTTGAGGATGAACGCCGTCCACACACCGAGGTCTCTTCGCTCGTTGACTAAGTCGATTTGGTGACCTTCGATAAAGTAATGATATCATTATCTCAACGGCCGCCTGTTGCTAGATCATGATAGGAAAGTTTGACATTAGCCAAAGTTGAGGCTAGGACACCACTCATTACGCTACCGTGGCAAACGATCCAGATTATATTGCAACAGTAGCAAATCTGCCCGCTTCTCTATCGAGTTCCTTAATTTGAGGGCATCGACAAACATTACGCGCTCCCAGTTTAGTCACCTCAGGCAGTCGTCCATTAATATTACAAGCCGAATTTGACCCGAAACCTTCTTCTCGAAACACCACTGTGGACGGATGTCTTCTCTGAGATCTGCCTGAAAGGAAATCGGTTAGCTTTTTCAGCAGATTCCCATTCAGGCTCATTCAACGTAGTCTAAAAATAAATCGTTCCTGTGGAACACTATCAAAGGCCTTTCTGAAGTCAATGCACCCCGCGTCTACTGATACATTCATTTCGATTTATTTCGTCCAGTATATATTGCTTCTAAATCCATGCTGGTGTAAACTAGGCTAGCTGCCCTCTTTAAGATGCCGCATTAACTCCGTTTTTATTATCCTCATCACCAGTTTGCATATGCTTGTTAGACTCGCTGGTTTGAAACTATTCAGGGTTGTTCTCTCGTCTCGTTTATACGTTGGGCATATGTTGGCTTGCTTCCAGTCAGTTTTCAGAGCCCCAGCCCCCATCGAAGTTTTGATTATAATGGTTGGCGAAGAGGCTAATTACTCCGAGAGTTCATCCAGGACTTTTTTAAGCACGCCGTCCGGATCGGGCGATTTAGTAGACTGTATCTGTCTGAAAGATTTTCTTACCGTGTCTTTTGTAAAGGCCACCGTGCTAACTTTGTTGCTAGATGGGTGTGCAGTTGTGTGCTAGATGTGATGTGTGGGTAAACTCTTTCATCAAAAACCGGCTCCTCGGTATACATAATCAGTCAGTCAATCAGTGTACTTATGGGAAATAGGCTTACGCCTTTTGTACATAAAAAATCGATAGATAAGCGAAATGTAAAGAAATTACAGCATTAAGTGAATGCACACATTGATTCCCATATGTCGCTGGTCCCATCGCTAATAAGTCACAAAGTCCGCTTGTTGCTGCAGCATATGTCCGTCAAGCCGACATTTAAACGTCTTCACGGGTTGAGACATGACAATCGTCTCGGGCAGGTTGTCCCACGGTTCCACGACACTGTTGAAGAAGACATATTTTCTCACATTCAATCTACATTGGGGCACACGTAGCTTGAAGGGATGTCCCGGAGGTGATTTGTAGTGGCGAGTTGGAAAAAGTCATCACAACGAAGGTCGCAGTCCAAGTCACGCACGATACGGAAAGTTTGTATCAAGTCCCCGCGCAACTGCCTATAAATCAGAGGATAGACATTAACGTTAGTTAAGCGGATCTCGTGTGGCAGTGCACTTTGATCTCTTACTAATTTTGTGGCTCGCCTCTGTACCCTATCGAGCAGACTGTAAATTCTGATGCGTCCATGGTCTCCAGGCGTGAATTGCATATTCGAGATGCGACCTTACCAACGTGCCGAAGACTTTGGAGAAGCAGTCTTCATTGAAAACTGCGGGTGCCCAGTTGATGGCATATAGTATTAAAGTTGCGGCCTTGGCCGCCTTACAACATTGTGTAGAAGGCTTTAGGCTGTCTGCGACCCAGACTCTGAGATCTTTCTGCGTTTCTGCTTATCGAATTGGCATTCCGTTCAGATGGTATTGCCGCGTACTTGGGGTCTGATTTCCGAGACGCAGTATGGTACATTTGGTCAAATTGAAGGACAAGAGCCATCTGTGGGACCACTCGTCCAATTGACAAAGATTTTCATGGAAGTTGGTCTCATCGGCAGCATCCTGGATGACCTTTTCGATTTTTATGTCATCTGCAAACATGGCACTATCACAGTCCAACCCATCTATACAATCATTGATGAACCAGAGAAAGAGGGTTGGTCCAAGCACCAAGCCTTATGGAACGCCATTCTGTAAGTAGGAATCTAATAATGGGCTCGCCTCGTCCGAATTATAAGACGACTTCCTTTCCTGGCAATCAGTTAGACAAGGAATGCAGTCCAGGTTGCTTTTCGCCTCATTCACCTAATCAAAGAACTTTTTTGGATTCCCGGCATAATTTTCAGTATCTTGACCCAAATGCTGGCCGTTCCCTCCTCAGTGGATTCCGACACATATATCCCCGTTTTTTAAATCAGTAAATGTGATGGTTGCTGACATCTAGGGTCCTTTTTTCAGAGCCCACATATCATCCCGGTGTTCCTCTTTATTTCTGACATCAACCATACTGGCTGGGAAGTGCTCGACATCCTGCTAAGTGGGCAACAGTTACCTACCGAACACTGCATTACGTTCTGGATGGAGAGACGACCGTTTTCTGGATCAGGTGTTTGTCCAGCGTTCCAGTTCATCTGAACCAGCAGATTTTTCACTCAGGGTTAAGCCCAATTCCGTACATTTCTTCCCTGGACAGCTGAAAGTTCGGGTCAGGAAAAATAACAATGCTCCCAAACAAGAACTCATTGGTAACTTCGGCCAAGAAGCGTGCATGAATTCAATCCGAAAATATAACTTTCGCCCCTGGTAACGGGGATATTCAAACAACATGACTGCTGTCCACTTCGGAATCAAGTGTCCACTTTAACTTGTTGGATAAGGCACCCATCAGTGGTCAGTTAAATAACTTTCTGTTTGATGAGATTTTCTGACCGCGACCGACATATGTACGGTTGGAATCGCCAAGAAACATCACTTGTTTGCTATGACAAATTTCTTTTTGCTCGGTTTTGAGTGCATTTTTCACATCCGTTCACTGGTCCGGCGATTTGTTAGCCAGGAAAATATGAAAACTTAATGGTTTCCCACTTTTGAGTCGCAACTAAACATTTCACAACTACGGTCCCTGCATGGGGAATGTCAATCCGTGATGTAGTTGATGCTATCTCATACTGAAATCGCGATTTCCCAACCACTTTGTTAGATCCAGCCCATTCGGATTGGCTGATAGCCATCCAACATGAATTCCGCACCTTCTGTCTGTGCTTCCAACGATTTTGTCAACTAGAGTTATCAACTTGAGTTGAAAATTGGCCACGGTCAGTCCTATTTCGTCCCATTTTTCAAATAGACGCTGCGGATTTTTGTTGATCCTCATCACACTATTTGGTTCAGGCGTTATTTGGAAATTGTTTGGCAGTGCTTTCGTGTGATACTT